ATATATAATTTCGCAGCCATTTCATAGAGGGTGATATAGAAGTCGCAGTCTTTGCAGCTTTAGCGTCCCAGAGCTCCTTAATATTTCGCCGCGGTTGATATGTATACACAAGCTCCATGTTGTAGCTAATTTTTGATTGCAACAACATATGTTTGATTTAATCTTCAAATTAGTTAACTTGCTTTTCAAGTTATCCCTAGTCAACAATCATTAAACAATTGGTTTATGCTTAGCGTGCGTATATCGAGTTATGGATGTACGCGGGAAGTTTGGAGAGCACGAAAGAAGCGTAAGAGTTGCTCGAGGCGATAGCTGAGAGCAACCCTAGCTTCTTAAATGCTCTCCAACCTTCTCAAGTGCATCCGTAACTCGATATACGCAGAGCTAAAAGCATGAACCAATTCTATGGCGACAACAACTTGGGCGGCGCTAAAACGTGTTTAATTTGTGATTGAATACAAAGTTGGTGAAGGAAAACAAAGGTCATTAGGCTCCTAACACGCCACAATAAGTTGAGCAACGGTCGAACAAAAACGCTTAACCTGGTTTCTAAAATTGTCAACGAAAAATTCGCTTCTCCGAATGAATTGTAATGAAAATGTAGGCAAACAAAGTCAAAAATACTCAATGAAAATGTAGATAAATAAACAAAGTCAAAATACTCAGGTTCAAGTAAACATCTTAGCTTCCCGAAAGGCAAAGGCTCGAAGTAGAGTTTGGATTGTTCAGAATAATCTTTACTTTCCGAAACTTAAACACAAGGAACTTGTACTAAACTCGACGGAAATTTTGTAGCTAAATTGAAACTGCACACGTCATCTTATATACGCACGGCCGTGCGTACATAGAGAATTCGTTCATGATGGCTCAATAGGAATTAGATAGCAGTAGCGCGGACTATGTTATAATTAACAGTTATTCGCCAAAGGCTCTGTGAACATTTTTTCAGAGGTGAACATTTTTTCAGAGGTGAAACACAGAATAACGACTAAAACAGACTGTTCGTTTGCATACACGCATGCAGCCGTAGTTTTAATGCTAAGCTTACATGTAGGCTTACATCGATTGTGAATCAATTTACACATCAAGTTCGGCAGTAAAACAAACAACGGCGAAACACTACGAAAAATAAATTCATCCCGTATCTTTGTTTTATGGTTGTTGACCTCATTCACAGCTGTCATCATCGTCTAAAAATAAGTAGCTTTAGTTTAAAGAAAAACAAATTTCGGTCAATCGATCTGACCCGCCGGCCATCAACGCAACCACTGCGATTCTTCAATTCCTGGAATACGAGTTCTTGAAAGGATTTTTCGTCTAAGGGCGACAGCAATCATTTTGAAAATTCTCCATCCTTCTAAATATCCTGGACTTGGAGTGATTTCTTTCGATTAACTAAAAATTTGATTCAGCAACTGTCCGCCATGTTTACTTGCCGAGATGGCAAAGGTGGCGAGCTTAGTAACCAGGCCTCAAAATGTTAGATTCACCGCTTGGAGCGGTGAATATGGCATCATATAAGGAATCGCTCGTCCAATCAGATTGCTGGAAACTCTTTGTTCAGCTCTGAAATTAATCTAAAAATAATTATAATCCATCAATATTTTCGCTCGTGCGCGATTAGTCTAAACGCGTTACGTGACTGCATATGTCACAGCTAAAACTGGGGAATATCTGAGTGATATTCCCCAATTTTCAGAACTGCACGTGTTGCGAAAAAGATTTGAAGGACAATAAACACAATAGCCTCCGTTTGGCACGAAAATATGCTCAGATATTTGTCCTTGGACACTATCTGTTCCTCGAAGCTCGCAGTTTTCCTCGAGCTACGCTCTTGGAAAACTGTTCGCTTCTCGGAACAGATAATGTCCGCGGTCAAATGTCTGAGCATATATTTGCGCCAAATGAAGGCGATTTGTGAATAAAGATGGTGAATTTTCATGTTGATCAGTTCACTTTTCACATAGAGGCTATTGTTTACCTAGTAAACCAGTTGAAGAGCGAGGTAATTAACTAGAAGAAAACGAACCACATATGGTTGAAAGCAAAAATCAACTACATCATGTCGCTTATTTTCTACTGAACCGACTTCGTTTTGCGGAGGGGATTCTCTTGATAAATGTCATCTAGATAAATTAAACGGCGTAGTTAAAATCTAGCGGACGTCATTGAGTCAAAAGCACGCGCTTTCAAACTAAAGGCAAATAAATTCTCAAAATATATTTCAGCCGCAACGCCCCATCACACACACGAACCTTAAGAGGAAAAGAGTTTGGATGCAGGAGAAGCTTTCCATTTTATATAACCGTAGCAGTTGTTTGATCGTTGTGCGTCCTTGGGCAATTCCCATGCTCCAAAAGTCTGCAATAGAATATTAGACGGAAATGCTATTTCGCGACGAGTGCAAATGAAAACTTTTCATGCCAAAAGAAGCTTTATTTTCTCAATACGAATCATCCAAGCACACGCTTAATTACCACACTGAAACAAAAAGGAATCGTCAACTTTTATAATTTTCTTTAATACAATTTTGACTGGCTGCGTATTTCCTTGGATCTGGTTGTCAGATCACCCCCGGCAAGCAAAACAGTGATGTAATGATTTTATTCATAGCATGTGCTATTGCTGGTTTTCAGTGTCACGCAATTCAAAATAGATCAAAATAAAAACAAAACAAAACCGGTCAATAGATGAAGTCCAGAATCTGGGAAATAAAAGAAGGTAAATATGCAAAGACTCTCGC